GCATGGCTCCGCCACCCTACGCCACTCCGGCCGGCCGTGCCTCGCCGGCGCCAAACGCCGAGCCCCACCCCGCGGCTGGCCTTGCCTAGTGCCCAGTCGGGCTCACGCTCGCACAGGCGCCCCCTAACCCGCAACGCCCCCCTGGCCCTATGACGAACGGGGCCCCCGCCCAGAACAAAAAAAAGGGATTAAAAAAAAGGATTTAAAAAAATAATAATAATTAAAAATAAATAAACTTAATTAATTAAGTTAATTAATCTTAGTTAATTAATCTAATTAATCTGTTAGTTTAATTAAACAGTAGTTTGATTAGTCTAATCCCTAATTAACTAAAACAGTCAATGGCATGGGGGTCCCACCCCTGTTGACCAGTCAAACGTTGACTGGTCAACTGGGTCCCTCTGGCCCACCTGTCAGTCACTGGGTACACTTTTGTGTACACTGTGCTGGGTGTGCCTAGCAATTTAGCAATTATTTTCGAATTAAAAATAATTTCAGAAATTAGTAAAATCTATAGAAAATCATATCTTTTAATCCGGAACTCGGATGAAAATACTTTGTACATGAAAGTTGCTCAGAACGACGAGACGAATTCGAATACGCAGCCCGTTCATCCGCCACGCATCCCTAGCATAGCAAACACGCAACTTTCCCCCTCCGGTTCGTCTGTCCGAAAACGCGAAACACCGGAGATAATTTCCCGGATGTTTCCCCCCCTTCACCGGTACCACCTTGTACCGCGTTAGGGCACACCTAGCATCACGCTTTGTCATGTCATGCATCGTCATGCATTTGTTTGCATTATATTTATTGTTTCTTCCCCCTCTTCTCTCGCTAGACACCGAGACCGACGCCGCTGCTACCCAGTATGACTACGGTGTTGACGACCACTCTCTCTTGCCAGAGCAACCAGGCAAGCCCCCCCTTTGATCGCCAGATATTGCCTACTCTTCTCTATACTGCTTGCATTAGAGTAGTGTAGCATGTTACTGCTTTCCGTTATTCCTATCCTGATGCATAGCCTGTCCTTGCTACTACTGTTGTTACCATTACCTGCTATCCTACTGCTTAGTATAGGATGCTAGTGTTCCATCAGTGGCCCTACACTCTTGTTCGTCTGCCATGCTATACTACTGGGCCGTGATCACTTCGAGAGGTGATCACGGGCATATACTTTATACTTTACACAGTTACCTTACCTGTGATACTGTTCGGAGATGGGGGCTGAAGGGGCAGGTGGCTCCATCCCGGTAGAGGTGGGCCTGGGTTCCCGACGGCCCCCGACTGTTACTTTGAGGCGGAGCGACAGGGCAGGTTGAGACCACCTAGGAGAGAGGTGGGCCTGGCCCTGGTCGGCGTTCGCGGATACTTAACACGCTTAACGAGATCTGGGTTTTTGATCTGAGTCTGGCCATTTGGTCTATACGCACTAACCATCTACGCGGGAGTAGTTATGGGTATCCCGGCGTCGTGGTATCAGCCGAAGCCTTCGTGATGTCAGCGACTGAGCGGCGCGCGCCGGATTGGAACGTAAGCCTGCTCTTGTATTAAGGGGGCTAGTTCTGCTTCCGGCCGCGTTCGCAACGTGCAGGTGTGCTAAGGGCGATGGGCCCAGACCCCTGTGCGCTTAGGTTTAGACCGGCGTGCTGACCTCTCTGTTGTGCCTAGGTGGGGCTGCGACGTGTTGATCTTTCGCGGCCGGGCATGACCCTGAAAAGTGTGTCCGGCCAAATGGGATCAAGCGTGTTGGGGAATGTGGTGGACCCCTGCAGGGAAGTTAATCTATTCGAATAGTCGTGATCTTCGGTAACAGGATGACTTGGAGTTGTACCTTGATCTTATGACAACTAGAACTGGATACTTAATAAAACACACCCTTCCAAGTGCCAGATACAACTGGTGGTCTCTCTCTCACAGGGCGACAAGGGGAGGATCATCGGTTAGGATTATGCTATGTGATGCTACTTGGAGGACTTCAGTCTACTCTCTTCTACATGTTGCAAGACGGAGGCTGCCAGAAGCGTAGTCTTCGAAAGGATTAGTTATCCCCCCCTTATTCTGGCATTCTGCAGTTCAGTCCACATATGATACCCTTACTCCATTTGATACCCATGCATATGTAGTGTAGCTCCTTGCTTGCGAGTACTTTGGATGAGTACTCACGGTTGCTTTCTCCCCCTTTTCCCCCTTTTCCTTTCATTCTGGTTGTCGCAACCAGATGCTGGAGTCCAGGAGCCAGACGCCACCTTCGACGACGACTCCTACTACACCGGAGGTGCCTACCACTACGTGATGCCCGCTGACGATGACCAGGAGTAGTTTAGGAGGATCCCAGGCAGAAGGCCTGCGCCTCTTTCGATCTGTATCCCATTTTGTGCTAGCCTTCTTAAGGCAAACTTGTTTAACTTATGTCTGTACTCAGGTATTGTTGCTTCCGCTGACTCGTCTATGATCGACCTCTTGTATTCGAGCCCTCGAGGCCCCCTGGCTTGTAATATGATGCTTGTATGACTTATTTATGTTTTAGAGTTGTGTTCTGATATCTTCCCGTGAGTCTCTGATCTTGATCGTACACATTTGCATGCATGATTAGTATACGATTAAATCGGGGGCGTCACACCCCAGCTCAATTTGTATGGCTGTATTGTTCCTCTGGAGCGCAGTGGCGAGGCCCTCCTTACAGGCGCTTAGTTCTGCTTCTATCACATCTCAGCACAAGTGTAGCTTCATGCACGAAGAAAAAATAATGGAGCCATCTTCATTCCTAAGAATCGCTCCTGCACCCGCTCCTCCAGCAACACCATATGAACCTGCACAATTCAACTTCATCCATCCCCTCGGTGGAGGCATCCATCCAGAGCCAAATTCAGTTGGCGAGCTAGTATTTCTGTCGACAACAGAGGAATAGGAGATCAATGCCTTTCCCTTCCTTGGGTCGACATTGTTAAGTTTAATGCCAAGAATCAAATCCAAATAACTCTGAAGAAACCGGGCCGAGACTTCTAGTGGTGGAGCAGGTTTATTGTGTACCACTTTGTTCCGAACGAACCATATCCTCCAGAGAGTCATCAACAATATGCCTCTTGCAATATGGTCTAGCGGCTCCAGTGTGTGGAGTAGCCATTCTTTCCCTGTTTTTTTAATTGAACGCATCTCCGGCAAGGTCCAAACTGTAGCCATCTTTGTATATAACTGCCTGCCACCAGGGCACACTAAAAAGAGATGAAAATTATCCTCAACTTCCTTTGCATAAATAGGGCACTCCCCTTATATTTCCATCCCGATTCTATTCTTCTTCTGCCAAGTAGGCAGTGAATTTGTAGCCAGTCTCCAAGCGAAATTCCGCACTGTCAGTGGTATATCACACGACCAAATATAATTCCAGCAGGCTCGCCCTTTGGGCTTCTTCAAATCCCAGATCATACGCGCTCTTGACAGAAAACTGTCCCAACTTCCCAGGTCCCCAAGCCAGCCAATCCTCCGTGCCAGGACTTGTACGTATCTTTAAAATTTCAGACGCATCTGCCATAGCAAAGAACTTCCTCAACAATGCATAGTTCCACGATCTGTCCTCCGTTAGTAGGCCCGACACAAATCTTATATGGCATCTCCCCTGCAGAGAGAAGGGTTTATACGAGAATGGTCTCTGTATCCAATTGTCCCTCCATATACGTATACTTTTCCCATTGCCCACTCGCGATAACAGCCCCTTCTTCAATAATTCTAAACCGTAGCTTATTGCATGCCAAGTGGAGGATGCATTACCTGTAAAAGTTAAACTAGTGACACCCAGCTCAGACCTGACCTTCTCTTTAACAGCCTCCGGGCAAGAGTCACCAAAAAATAATGAACATTTGTCATAGTTCAGACTTTGCCCTGTTGCTGCACCATATCTCCCAAGTGCAAGTTTTATTCTCTCAGCTTGTAGCTTTGACGCCTTAAAAAACAAGAGGGTGTCATCTGCAAAAAGCAAATGAGATATACTTGGTGCCCTTCTACAAACCTTGACTGGAGTAATCTTCCCATTCGCCACACCATGTTTCAAACTAGCTGAAAGCCCATCCGCCACCAATAGAAACAAGAACGGTGAAAGAGGGTCACCTTGCCGAAGCCCACGCGTCGGTGCAAATGAATCTGAGGGGGTCCCGTTGAGTTTGACAGAATGCCTCACCGGTGTTATACATGACATAATCCAATCCACCCACCGTTGAAAGAACCTCAGCTTTTGCATCACCTGCTTCAAGAAGGCCCAATCCACCCTATCATAGGCTTTCGATAGGTCTAGCTTATATGCACACAAAAAATTTGTGGGGTCTTTTTCCTTTTTGATATAATGACTACATTAAAAGGCAATTAAAGCGTTGACCATAATTAGTCTCCCCGACACAAATGCGCTTTGTTCAGGAGACACAATCTCATCAAGAACTGGCCTTAACCGGTTAACCAGGCATTTAGATATTACCTTATAAGTCACATTGCAGAGACTTATACCGCAGGTCTGAGCGGGTGTTTATTTTGTGAGGTATACATGGATGTTTGTTTCCGTCTTTTATCTAGCCCACAAATGAAGAGTTGTCCTGATAAAATTTTAATTTGTGATTAGTTTAACACTACAATTTGATTTTCAAACGTTTTTCAAGCTTAATAAAGCTACAATTTTTCGAATCAATGAAGTCGTGCAGAGCTGTTCGCTAAATGGCTTCGTAGAGAGCTGTTCTCGCTCTCAATCTCCCCACAGCCACTGGTCACTCCTTCCCACTATCCCCGACCATAACCCTCGATTCCCTTCCTCCACTCCTGCGGCCATGGACCCGCCGCCGCCGCCGCCGGCCTCCATCCCCGTCCCCGACGACCTCCTGGAGGAGATCTTCGTCCGCTTGCCCACCCCGGACGCGGTCGCCCGCGCCTCCGCCGCCTGCACCTCCTTCCGCAGCGTCATCAAAGGCCGCTCTTTCCGCCGCCGCTTCCGCGCGATGCACCGGCCTCCCCTCCTCGGCTTCATGGACGCGGCAGGATTCCACCCGGCCCAGGCGCCGCACCCCTCCGCCCCGCTAGCTGGAGCCCTCGCCCCCTGCGCTGCCGATTTCTCCTTCGTCCCGGCAGTCGTTTCTTCTGCCTCCTACGTCCAGCCCGCCGTCCAAGAAGACGACGGGGAAGGCCCCCGCTGGCGCCCCTGCGACGTCCGCGACGGCCGCGTGCTCCTCGATTGGATCTCCTTCTACCCCCGTTCCGTCCACATGTGGAGCTACCGCGAAGGCTGTGCCCGCCGTGAGGTAAGCATCCTCATGGACTCCAGGGAGCCCGTTAACCTCAACATCTGTGCCCGCCCGACGTGGACCAAACGGGAGCGCTGCAACGCTGCCGACTTCCACCTCGCCGTCTATGACCCCCTGTCCATCAGATACGTGCTGCTTCCAACCATACCCGAGGACCTCGCCTCCCAGCCACAGGATCTCCTTCAGGAATTCCAGCCTGTGCTTGCTCCCTGCACCGGCGACGACAGCGAGGAAGTGCCCTTCAAGGTGATATGCATAGCAAGATACCAAACGAAGCTCGTCCTCTTTGTATTCCCATCCACAGCTAGGCAATGGTCTATGGTCGAGTCCCCCATTTTCCCTTCTTTGGAGCACATGTCTTGTTTGTACGACATGTCCTCTTTTGACTATGTGCGCGGCTCTTTCTACTGGACAGATCGTCATGATTGGAGTGACCATTTGATGGTGCTGGACACGCTCACTTTGAGGTTTTCCACTGTTGACCTTCTCACCGGTTACCATATGGAGCTCAGAAGTCTGCCTGGCCAGAGCTTTGATGATCGTCGCCCAAATGCTGTTGTTCTGGGCCGAGAAGGAGCCCTTGAGATGTTTTCTCTTGTCTGTCAACACGGGGCATTTGCTCTCTACCATACCTCTCTGCAGAATAATTCACAGGAATGGAAGCTAGAGAAGATTATACAGCTGCCTGGGCAGTATCGTGACTATTCCATCTCCACAATTGGTGCAGCCGAGGGATTCTTGTTCTTCCGGGGCGCTCTAGGAGGTCTGGGCAGTATTGAGAATGTGGATTGTTACTCAATGGAGGTCAAGACATATGGAATTACCAAAGTCTGTACAAAGACGGAGAAGTTCCTCAATCGCAGATCTGCTCTCCCATACTTTAGCTTCCCACCACTGTTATCGGAACCAACTATCTGATCAACTGGTAAGCCTAAGTATGTCATTTTACGTCGCCATTGGGTGCATGTTTTGCTTGTTCTACTTGCATGGTCATATATAGAAAGTTTATTATTGTTCTATTGGGCTGTACTACCTTGTCAAACTATAGCCAGGAGAGGTTGCCAATTCATGGTTTGATTCTGCGCACATTTTTAACAATTGTTTGTGATTGTCTTGAAAAAAGATTACATACTACTTCCTCCGTTCCAAAGTAATTGTTGTGGTTTTATTTGAAATTTGAACTAAAACCATGACACTTATTTTGGAATGGAGGGTGGAAAGCTAATTTTTATTGCTCCATATCTTAGTAGAGAGAATGCCTTTTGCGCTTGCATCTTGATATGGTACATCTTTAGTCACACTTTGCACTTACACATCATCCATTTATTTGAACGATGATGCTCGAAACAAGAACGATGCACAACATGTAAGCTGATGTTTGAGTACTCTTTATTTATTTCGTTGTATTTTCAAAATACGAATGTTGCATAACCAGTAAGTTGATGTTTGAAGGTCTTGATTCTTGTATTTATGAGCACTCCTTATTTACCATGTTATGTTTTCAAGAATATGTTTTCAAGAACAGAGAGTGTTCGCCTGTTATGGTCTGCTGATTTTTTGTGTATATTGCTTCCAAGCTGCAATATAGTATGGTAGCTTGCGAGCCTTTGTTATTAAGCTGTATTTTAATCTGCTTTTTGGCACATGCCTCCTTCCTAAGAAATGGGATGGGGAAGATTCCCATTGCATAAACTGCAGTTGCTTCAATTCTAACTAAATACATGTATGCAGATCTGAGCTCGCTCAATTGATATTGCTTGGGCCATACATCTGGAGTAGGATGGCGGATGGTCAAGATGGTGCTGATGTAGTTTGATATGTCCGTATTAAGTACCGCATGTATGTAAGCAGGATATGCTGTCAGCAAGTTGAATTTGACCAACACTGACGTCGAAGACTTGGGTTTATGTTGTGTACTGATGTTTGCGTTGGAAGACCTCGGAGTTTATGTTCCCCCTTTCAATCCATGCCCTCAGTCTAGATGGTCTATCAGTAACTGAGAGAACTACGTAGCTTTTATTTGCATGAGTGGAGTGGATGAGTTAGTTAATTTCTTTTAGTAAGATGCTTCTGATGATTTCATCTCTAACGCCTGCCGAATTCTGGCTGAGTTGCTATGATTGAGTTTCTTGCGCACGACTGGCTGTAATAGACATGGATATCATACAAACATCAACTTTCAGAGCTTCATTTTTCTCAGAGATGTACTCACTCAAATTTGAGCTGAGAGCATCATGTCGTCTATCAATATGACAGAAACTTCAGAAACCTTTTCCATGTTCAAAAATCTGAAAATTGGAGGAGTAAAAGGGCATTTGATACACCACACAACACAGCCACACATCTGCTACCTTGATCTATTTTTACAAACTTTTTCTACCAGCACCAGAATCGAACGACTTTTACAAACTTCTCTACCAGTTGGAGCATGTTCAACAAACACTATCTTGACGTTATGCTAAAAAAAACACTATCTCGACGCTTGGATAAAACCGAACATGTGCCTAGGTGACAGTTTGGTAGCAGGCTGCGACAGCTGCTGCCGCTCTCTCCAACGCCTTGAACCGGTTAGCCTCCACCTGCGCCCTCTGCTCCTCTGTCATCTTCATTTTGCTTGGCTTGCTTCCAGCATTTTCCGCTCCATCTTGAGGCTTCTCCAGCACCCCCCTCTCCAGATGTGCTTCCAGATTCCTGTCGTGTGCCATCATCAACAATAACAGAGCATCACAGGTCCTCAAAACATTCATGCTGAACTACAAAGTCCAATATTTTTTCAAGAAAGTTATTTATTGTTCTATTAGGCTTGTCAAACTAGCTTGAAGAGGTAGCTAATTGATGGTTTGATTCTGCACACATGTTCAACAATTGTTCGTGATTGACAAAATCAACAAAAAAATGAAGATTACATACCAGTTTGGAAATCTAATTTTTATTGCTCCATATCTTAGTAGAGAAAATAGCTTTTGTGCCTTCATATGGTACATCTTTAGTCACACTTTGCACTTAAACCTCATCCATTTATTTGAACGATGATGTTCAAAACAAGAAAAGCTGATATTTGAGTACTCTTTATTTACCTTGTTGTGTTTTCGAGAACATATAGTTCACTGCAATAAGATAGCTCCAGGATTCTTGGGAAGCATGAATAAACAGCTCATGCGCCTTTGTTCTTAGGCTATATTGTACTCTGCAATTTAGCTCATGCCTCCTTCCCTAGAAAATGGGATAGGAAAGATTCTCACTGCATCATCTGCAGCTGCTTCAAATTTCTAACTAAATACATGTATGCAAATCTGAGCTCGCTTGCTAGTTGCTCGGGCCATACACCTGGAGTTGGCTGGTGAGTGTTCAAGATGGTGCTGATGTAGTTTGGTATGTCCGTGTTAAGTGGCATATGTATGTAAGCAGGTATGCTGTCTGCAAGTTGACTTTGCCCGAAATGACGTCGAAGACTGTAGTGTTGTTTATGTTGGAAGATTGGCTAGACTGGTTGTGCTGACTTCTGTTACATTCTCATGAGTTAGTACTAGCTTTTCTCTGCATGAGTGGACGAGTTAGTTAATTTCTTTTATTACGATACTTGCGATGAGTTCATCTGTAATGCCTCCCAAAGTCTGGATGAGCTTCTTGAGCACTGAGCATGGGTGGTTTTGTTGGCACTCTGTGCAAATATATGGTCCCATTGCATAGAAGTAGAACCAGAGGTTTGTTATCATGCTAACCTGATCCTGTAAGTATCACCTTTCGGAGCATCAGGTTTCATACAAATGTACTTAAGCATGAGGTCTTCTATCAATATGCACATGAATTCCAGAAACCTCCTTTTCTAGAAATTTCAGAGCATCATGTTTCTCAAACTGTCTTTTCCTATACTAATATGCACACAAATTACATGTTCAAAAGGCTACATACATAGCACCAAGGTAAATTTGAGTCACAAAGGGCACTTGATACATCAGATTTACCAGCTACTCTACCTTGCCCACACCAGCGCCAAAGTAAACCAACTTCCACAAACTTTTCTACTAGCAATCAGTGGAGCATGTTCTCTGCGTTTTACTGACCAAATTCAGTAAACACTATCTTTGACAGTTCAATAAAACCCAACACAACATGGTATGCTACATGGCCTAGGCTGCGAGTGGGATGCGCGAGCCCGAGCTGCTGCTGCCCACTCCGTCGCCTTGAGCCGATACTGCTCCTTGGTCAGCTTGACTTTGCTTGGCTTGCTGTCACCATTATCACCTCCATCTTGATGCTTTTCTGTCTCTCTTGGAGCCAAGGGTTCTCTAGTGCCTACCACACCAGGTCTGATTCTAGGTTCCTATAGGGTCATCAACAATAACAGAGTATCGTGTCTAGGCACGGCTTCTGTGTTTTTTCTTTTTTTGAGGAAACTTCTATTTCATTTTAATGTATGAGATGAATGGCATTAAACATACATATGTGTTTACTTTGAGAACTTACATCAGTTGTGTTTATTTTCGTAGATTTCGTTCAGCAAATCCTCTTGCATTGGATCCACATCATTGCATTCCATCATTGGAGGATCTATACCTTGTTGCACCGACTACGGAAGTTCAGTCCCCAGGGTAGGGTCTTCCTGTGTGGCTCACATCTGCCAGAAATAATGAATGTGCAATGCTATGATTATAATGTCTGAAATATATGTTTGGGATCCAGACAAGTGCTTTTCTAAACTAAATGCCTAAAGATATGCATTGTGTGCACTGTAAAGAAAACAAAGTGCTCAGACAAAATGTAGGATCTCCCCCTCTGGCCACCCTATCCTTCAGTTCAGAAATGCATCTCGGACAAAGGAAGTACAGTGTCAGAATTCAGAATACAAATGCCCGGGGAGAACAAGGTATAAAAATCTATAGAAATTTGTGAAATAGCACAAGAACATCAATTCTGCATATATTCCCCGAAAACATACTCTTGTACTCCCTCCGTTCCTAAATATAAGTCTTTGTAGAGATTCCACTATGAACCACATACGGATGTATATAGATGCATTTTGAGTATGGATTCACTCATTTTGCTCCGTATGTAGTCCATGGTGAAATCTTTACAAAGACTTACATTTAGGAACGGAGGAAGTAGTATTCCTTCCCTGAACAAGAGTGACATGATAAGGAGCATTACAAATGTTCTTTTAGGGTGTATTGTTACTTAATGAATAATGAGATATTCATGTCTGCTTAAATAGTCTCAATGTGGCTGTTGTTGCAGGTCATTACCTTTTCCGTTACGTTTAGTCGTTAATATACACTCCCGTAAGCCATCATGCCGTTGTAAAAAGGCATATTTGGATTAAGTAATTCCCTTTCAAGCATCCTATCTAGCGGGAGGACAAGGATGGCATGATAAGGAGGAGCATGACGATTACTTTATTCCAGGTGTATTTTTGTCCTTCATTTATGAGATCTTCATGGTCCGCTACGAAACAGAAGATCGTCAAGTTGACGGGCTGCAGGTTCTTGCCTTTAACATTGCGTTTAGCCATGAAACAACAGTTTCACACCGAGATGTATAAGGCCACCATAGCATTATGAAATACCATGGCAGATTAGTCGTGGCGTCCATATGTTATTCTGTTCTACTACCTCCACATTAAAATATATGACGTTTTTGCAGTCCAGTTCAATTAAAGTGCAAAAATGTCTTATATTTTGATACAGAGGGAGGGTAGCATCCTATTGAGCAGAAGAAATTATGTCTAACTTAATTTAACCTTAAAAGAAGTTGATTGCAACAGCATGGAAGTAACCTCTGAAAGGAACAACAAAGCTTACCCTAACGCGGTTACAGGCCCCAACCTTTTCAACTTTGGGCACAAACTGCTCGAAGGAGTAGCAAGGGATCAGGCGAGAGTGCCGGTCCACATTGTTGTGGAAAATATGAAATCCTAAAGT